CAATTTGTACTAATGTTGTTAATACATCTGCAGATTTTATGGAGCAGAGGTGTTGTTACCACAATGTATCACAAATTGATTATCACAAATTGATTATCACAATGTCCAGTCAAATATTATTACAAATGCTAAATGTTATCACAATGTATCACACCATWTTCCAACAGATTATGATCAACACTAAATGTACCACAATGTAGCACAAATTGAGATTACTCTATGGCTTAAGGCAATCGTCTCCGTCTCAAATACAAGAAAGTATCTTCACTATATTTGGATTCCAATTGAASAARAATATTAACGTACAAAATGACCATCTTGCCCTTGTTCATATAATGTCATTAAATGACAGTAATTTATTTATAGAAATACATTAATTAAGATTCTTTTTAATCTTACCCATTGATTATTATAATATGTGGTTGAGATTGGTTCTCACAGTTACCACAAACAATTCAGTTCTCATTTGATTAAGCCCCTATATATATATATATATATATATCAAGGAGAGCATCATTAATACCCAGAACAAAGACTCAAGCTCTTAAATAATTCATTTAATATTTAGGGGGCGTTTACTAAACACTTACTTGGTAAGTGTTTAACGCATAAATTTACTCATCGGATGAACACGAGAAGAGTCAAGAATCTTATTGGGTAAGAGTGATGAGAAGGTTGAAGAGTCTTACCCGGTAGGTGAGGACGACGACTCTTATCCAAGTAAGCGTTTATCCAGTAAATTATTGCATTCAATATGTTTTGATGTACTAAAATCTTACACATCAAAATAAATTATAGTGTTCATTCATATTGGTAAATATTTACTGGGTAAGCATTTGAGTAAACGGATGGTTGTATTCATACCGGATTCGTTGGCCTTATGTGGTTAAGTAGAAGTGGATTCATTTTGTCTCTTTGTACACTCAATTTTGTGATTCCCAAATCCCTAAATTCATGAGCTACCATCTCTCAACCCAAACCTCGATCTTCGGACTTCACTTATGGATCGTACTCGGTGTCTCCGCCGGCGCCATTTTCGTCCTCCTCCTTTTTCTCCTCTCCCTCTGCTTCACCAACAGATCCACAGCTCACACCCAACCAGATTCCATCCCAATTGAAATCACCACACCTGCAACTACCTCCCACCGACTATCCGCCACTGAACAGCAAGCATTGCTAAAACACGATGAAGATTACGCCTCTATACCCTACCCCAGAATCCACATCCAAATGGGTAAGGGACACCCTCACCGGGTTTTGTACCCCAAGAGATTTGGTGGGGTGACTCCGATTGGAAACGGCCATCATTCACCGGCGGCGACGGCGGCGGCCAGAGCTGTAGGTCCTGAGGTTTCGCATTTGGGATGGGGACATTGGTATACATTAAGAGAGCTTGAAGCAGCCACCAATGGATTTGCAGCTGAGAATGTAATTGGTCAAGGAGGTTATGGCATTGTTTACTATGGTGTTCTTGAGACTAAAACTCAAGTTGCTGTCAAGAATTTGCTCAACAACAGGTCATTTTTCCCTCAAAATCTTCATAGTTTTTTGCTGAATTTAAAGATCTTATGGTCAATTTTGTTCATAATTTTTGTTTAGAGGACAAGCTGAGAAGGAATTTGAAGTTGAAGTTGAAGCAATTGGTAGAGTTAGGCATAAGAATCTATTGAGATTGCTAGGTTATTGTGCAGAAGGAGCACATAGGTACCCTTTCATTTGGCCTAATTTTGTGTTCATTTTAATGGAATTCAACTGTTCTATATCCCATAACTCGATTCATGATTTCAAATGCTTGTTTCAGGATTCTTGTTTATGAGTATGTAAATAATGGGAACTTGGAGCAATGGGTTCATGGTGATGTAGGGCCTTGCAGTCCTCTTACTTGGGAAATTCGTATGAAAATCATCATCGGGATAGCAAAAGCGTAATCCATCTAAACCCTAAACCCTAATCTATTTATGCTCTAAACCTTTTGTTTTGTAGCAAATCGGTGTTATAGGACGTCAAATATGTCTAAATATTCTAACAGATTGCTATGTAGGCGTTAAGTTATATGATCAAACAACTGTGCATCTTGATGTCTTATGTAAAGGTGTTACGATAAACTGATGTTTTAAATAATGTCCTACAAAACTTGTTAGGACTATCAGATATAGGTTGCACAGTTGTTTGGTCTTACAAAACAGTCTATTAGGACATTTAGGCATGTTTGTTAGCAGCTTAATAAACTTGATAAGACTCACAGCTTATTCGGTCAGCTATACATGACTGTTTGGTAGTGGCTTAATGATAAAGAAAGTGGCTTATTCAGTAAGCTTCCAGGAGAGAGCTTTATGCAGAAAGCCAAGTTTTTTCTAAACTTGTTCGTCCCAATTAAAAGGCACGCTTCTTCTATCTATGAAAAAACTTCCCAAACGAAAATCTTGTCAATTTATTCAGACAAATTAATCCACACACCATACAAGACTTAACGGAAACCGACCAAACAGCCCCCTAGACATCTTTGGCTTCTGATAAAGCCGATTTTGTTGTAACAGTTTGTTGATCATGGATTTGTGTTTAAAAAATGCAGGTTAACTTATCTTCATGAAGGACTTGAACCAAAGGTAGTTCACCGTGATATAAAATCAAGTAACATCTTACTCGATAAGTCTTGGAACCCAAAGGTTTCCGATTTTGGATTAGCCAAGCTTCTTGGGGCAGATCGGAGCTACATTACTACCCGTGTGATGGGCACATTGGGGTCGGTCTCTCTTTATCTCACTCGTACACACACCCACACTGCAACAACATCCAAAAGTCCAAAACGTTTTTCCAAAGGTTTTAAGGAAGCTTTTCATTTCCGTCAAACAATTTTTTCTACATAAAGGTAGCTAAATGTTTTAGGGAAGGTTCTGAAAGTGTATATTGAACACTTTCAGAGACCTTTTTTTGGCCTTCTAATACGCTTTCCAGAGACGGCTACGTATCTGAACCACTCATATATTACTGGTTCTCTTGCAGCTATGTTGCTCCGGAATATGCAAGTACGGGGATGGTGAATGAGAGAAGTGATGTTTATAGTTTCGGGATTTTGTTCATGGAGTTGATCTCGGGGAGATATCCAGTCGACTATAAACGACCAAAAGAAGAGGTTTATTGAATTGCTTATGTGCACGCTATTTGTAGTATTGATTTTGTGGGTCCCATCCCGATTAATTGACGTCGGAAACCGACAAATATCAAAACTTTTTGAACAAATCGTGGAAAAGACGATGGTTGTGGATTCTTTTTAGTAAAGAAATCGTTCTTTGATGCAAAAAAATGGGGTCCTTTTTTCGTAATTTCACAAGAAAGATGATTTATAAGATGTTAAATATGTCTAAATGTATTAATATACTGTGTTATACGGACCTAAGTTTATATGACCAAATACTATATGTTAAGGTGTTACAATAAGTTGACGAGACGTTTTTTGGTTATTTAAACGTTTTTTTAATTAACCTGGATATCCAACCCACTATGCGAGCCGACTAATTCCAGGGCGACCACCTGCTTTGCATATAGCCCGGAGTCACTGCATTTGAACCTCCGTGGCCACAAGGGGATTTTTATTCCTCCTTGGATTTGAACATGAGACCTCCTGGTACTTTTGACCTTTGGAGCCAAGCTCAAACCATTGAGGCACCACCCTTGTGGTTAATTAAAGTGGGTTTTGTTGTTGTGGAGGTTGTCTTGTTACTTTGGGGTTGCAATGTTGTTCTCGGTTACTAAGTCTATGCTTCTTTCTCAGGTACACTTGGTCGATTGGCTCAAGAAAATGGTTAACGAGAAATGCCCAGAAAAAGTTTTGGATCCTAAAATGATCGAGAAGCCTTCTTCGAGCATTGTAAAGCGGGTTTTGCTAGTTGCTTTACGATGTGTTGATTCAAATTCCGAAAAGCGACCTAAGATAGGACATGTCGTACACATGCTCGAGTCCCAAGACCAATCTTTGATCGATGTACGTCCCTTCTCTTAGTACTCCAAATAGCGTGTCTTTAAAGGGTATATAAACTCTTTAAAAATCGCATATTTTTTAAAAGTATATAATATATATACAACAAAACTCACACACACTCACCTTTTACGAGGCTTAAACCCTTAACCTTCATAGGAGTTGGGATTTACTCGTAACCCAGATACCGATTTTGGTTAATTGCATCTTTTTGGTAGCATATATAACATTCATTTATAGCAAATACTCACACCCCCTTAACCTCCAGAAGGGTTTGGATCTACCAGTAACCCAGATACTGCTGGTTCAATGATCCATTGGTTAAAGATCGCATCTTTTTGACACATTAATTGTTCAAAAGACTTCAATTATGTTAAGTAGATGATGAAAATGATGTTAAAATATCGTTTCAGGAAAGAAGAGGCGTGCGGGATTATGGCAGTCCAAACGATGGATCAAACGAGAAGCAAATGACTCGTTAATGGCGTTAAATGACAAGATAAACAACATACGTATGTTTTCCGAGGTAATTGGAGGTCTCAAAAACGTGATTTTGGTCTCCGAAATGGAGGTTTATATCGTATATCGTATATCATATATAGCAATTGAAATTGTTCATTTTGTAGATTTTAGATTTTACTTGATGTGAATGTGTTGTTATTGTTGGAATTATACTCAAATGAGATGGCTCATGGTCATGGAGGTTGTATGTTGAATATGATATGTATAAAAAAGAAAGGTTTTTATGTGGATCAAAGTTTTTTTTTAATTAACATGGATATCCGCCTGCTATGCAAGCCGACTAATCCCAAGGCGACCATCTGCTTTGCAAATAACCCGGAGTCACCGCATTTGAACCTCCGTGGCCACAAGAGATTTTTATTCCTCCTTGGATTTGAACTCCGTGTATTTTTTACCTTTGGAGTCAAACTCAAACCAATCAGGGATTACCCTTGTGGTTCAAAGTATTTCTTTTGTGTAATAGGTCAGGAAGTTTTAGATTTAATTAAAATGTCATTTAAGGTCGGTCATATAATTGCGGTTCAGTCTTGCGGAGTGTCTCATTCGGCATCATTAATCAACGAAAACTGCATCTTGGGTTGAGATTAACTATTGCCGAAAGATAATTGGCTACTGCGGAGATTGTTTTACTGTCGAGGATGGCGTCAAAATTTATGCTTTTGGTGGCGATTTAGCTTATAATTTAAAGAAATCGGAAAATTTCCGGTTGTCGTCTGGTGGTACATGAAATCGAGACTACGGTTCATTCACCAGAAATGGTTTGTGCATTGCGACATCAAGCTCCAAAATATTATGTTAAATCTCCAATAATGTGATCGCCACCGTCAGGATTGCTGACTTGGGGTTAGCCAAGAAGCCGGCCGGAGAGTCAAAATACAAAATAAGAGGTACACCGATGGTTGTCGGTGGTACTGTCTCCGACACCAAGAACCGCCATCAGATGTACGGGTGGCGGTGGCACAGAAATCTAGAGATCCGGGGAAAGTTACCTCTCGAATCTAGCTTCGATTTAAGATCCAAAACGCTTAGATCGAAGAATTCAATGGATTTGACATGTTCTTCAATGGAAATCGACGAAATCATTTAACAATTGAATCATCAGAGTTCCATATAAACATACTTGAATTCATATGAACATGATGCTTAATTGCTAATGAATTCATTATTAGCAGGTCAGATTCTGCAAACATAAGAGAATATGATTGCTCAACGGATTGAAATGGGACGACGTAGTATTGATTTCAATGATTCAAGCATACCTTAATTAACCTCCAATGGTGGAACAATGACCGGCGCCGGATTAATTTCACCGGCGGCAACGCGTGATTGTGGAGCAACCTCTGGTGTAAGGACGAACCCGACCTTTAGCTCTCCAACAGTTATGAGTGTAGTACGACCTACCAGAGCGTGGTGGACACGGAACTCTGTTCGCCGACAACGCTCCATACGAAATGTAGTATCTCATCCTCCTCCAAAACAGAGATCTACGATCAGAAACAGATTCGTTTTCATCATCTTCCCCTTCGATTTCGTCAAAACCGCCGTAAATCGACATCTCCATCTCGGCATCGACGAGATGTAGGGCGAGCTGCTTTGTGGCGTCGCCACCGGAGGCGCGTGTGAGTGCTAGTAATATAAGGCATAGCGGGAGGAGCAAGTGGAGAAGCGGAGACGCCATTGATGCCGATGGAGTTTCTGTGAAGAACTGAAGACAAAGAAGAGTCACATGCAATATGTGTTGTGGATAAAGCGTGGGGTTGGGTTAACAGCTGTAGGGTTTTATGAGTACAAGCAATATATTGGAAAGATCGATAATGGCGTCCGTGTTTCTGTTGATAAGTTTGTGATCGTAGTCATGACGATTATTTTCCGGCGACACCAATAATAAGCCTGTGAAATCAGCGGTGGCGCGTTTCTAAAGGTGTCAGTCGGTGGCGGTGGCAATGGCATACTTTCCTCTGTTCCGTATTTAGGGATGTTTTGGATTGCTAATTGAAACATATATATATATATTTTTTTTTTATAAAAGTACTTATCAATTTATTATAAATCAGAAGGTTTTAAATTCTTCAAAAACTTTTTATTATCGGTTTGACATCGATATAAGTTGTTTAGACAAAACACTCAAAATAAAGGTTGGGCACATGTTCATATATTAACCCACTTTTTGTGGCTTTAGCATCCTGCATGTTTTGCTTCTATTGATAGATGGGTTTTTGTGTTTTTTGATGCCCATGAACATCACCAATTGTTCAACATATTTCTTCACGGAACTTTTTTTTAGCAAAAAGTTGATTACCGGTAATTCCAATCGATTTTATACAAAATCCGTCTTCAAGGACATCAATGTGAGAGGACATTTTTTGGGCTCATGGGGGTACGTCTGAGATCGAATAAACCCAAAACTTGTCTTGTATTTGGGCAAAGTTACCACATCTCTTTGCCAACTAAGCTACACGTCGAAGGCCCATTGTGAACTTGTTTGCATCATTTCCCCCCGAGCAATCTTATGGTATTATTTATTTAAACGTTTTAATCATTAATAATGAATACCTAAAAGTTAAAAGGTATAATTTCTCTCGGGAACAAGCGGTTCCTTTGGAGACAGATGGAATTTCCGTCAATTTCCAGCCTTCTCTCAAACACAATCGTATGAATTATACAAAGGAGAAATTGTTCAAAATAGGAGTTTCATGTTCTTCGATTTATTTTATATCCATTTTTTATTCAGCTAATCAAGTAGTCAAGATTTCGTGATTAGTATTTTAATTATTTATGAAAATCTATTCTTTTATAAATTTAATATTTATAAAATAACGTTTTTAACAAGTTGGTAAAGGCTGTTTGCAAATTGACATCACAAGTTACACTTTATCAAGTTGGGTAGTGTAACACATTGACAACTTTAGCAAGTGGCATTTCCACGGCATAATTTCACGAGTAGTACTTTAACAACTTATAGAACTGTTACTTTAAGAATAATATATTCATAAAAAGTGGAATTTGCAAGTTGTTAAAGTGTAGGGGCTGTTTGGTAGATACTGAATGATTTAGTATAAATGATTAAGGGACTCCGCATGATTTAGAGTAAGTGGTCCGAATGATTAAAGATTTTTTTTTATTAAACAATGGGTGATGGTGATCCTTTTTTTATTTTTATTAAATATCCAACCCGCTATACGAGCCAACTAATTTCAAGACGACCAATCACTTTGCGGATAGCTCGGAGTCACCGCATTTGAACCTCCGTGGCCACAAGGGGATTTTTATTCCTCCTTGGATTCGAACCTGAGACCTCCAGACACTTTTGATCTTTTGAGCTCAAGTTAAAACCAATCAGACACCATCTTTATGGTTGATGGTGATTCTTTTGGTGTAGTGGGAAGCAAAAGAAAGATCGGTAGGGTTTCGTTTGAATATTGATTTGATATGTTTGTTGGAATGGATAAAACGGACAACACAATCATTAATTTTACGTATACACACACAGAGGTTCAGAGGCAGAGGGCAATCGTGGAAAAGAGGCATCTCTTAATGGTATGGTTACGGCTTGACAAATGCAGATGGAGTTTGAATAATTCAAAGCCTCAAAGGAGTATATCAAAGAAGAATGAGTCGGAACGATTAAGATGTTTCCCTCTTGATAGCATCATTAAGAGGTAAAAATAAGATTAAAAATAACCCAGTCGTTCCATTTTACTAAGGTGTCGTTTACCAAGCGCTTACCAAGTCACTTTACTTTACTGGATGAATATGACAAAGACTAAAAATCTTATCCGGTAAGAGCAAATACAATAATCGAGAGTCTTACTCGGTAAGTGAGGACGATGACTCTTATCATGGTTAGCGCTTACCAGGATAAATTGTTACATATGATGTGTTTTAATGAATAAAATCTTATTTGATAAATAAACAATAATATTGAATTTTATCGGTAAATGTTTACCGGGTAAGTGTTTAGATAAACTGCCCCTGTCAGTAGTTGCAGTGGCTGTTGGATGTACTGTAAAGGCAATTTTTGGGAAAGAAGTCAGTGTTGTTTGATTTCTTGGAACTTCAATTTCTGAATGATGATAGGCACTGATTCCAATTAAAGAGTCTTGAATTCACCAATGGAATACTTCTAGTTCTACCTTATGAGTTTATGACCATTCGACGGTGTTTTTCATCAAAATAACCAAAATATACCTAATATATTAATAAAGTAGCTATTTTTTTATGTTTTTATCAAAATAATCACATGGATCGCCCTCGAGGGATGATTTCACCATAAGAGGGGTGATCCAACCTCTTTGATCCAAAAAAGTATATAAAAATATTTTAAATTGATTTGTAGGGTCTAGATGTATCTGATTTGTGGACCAAATATTTGATTTGTCTTAAATAGTGGGATCACCCCCACCTACCCTGGGGGCGATCCGGCTTACGCGTTTGACTGTTATTTTGTCTACTAGTGAGGAAATCGATTTGACAATTAAGAGGTGTTTTTCAATAAATGGGAGACGATTTTGACGGTTATTTTGACTGTTCTAGTTGTGGTTTTAGTCTATAAAATCGAATAGTTCTATTTTCACAACACGTAATCATTAAACACAATCTTCCATCACTAACTCTTAACACAATATGAAATCACGTCAAGCTTTATAATTTTTACTACTTTTTTAAAACGCATAAATGAACCAACGACTGTTTTTATATTTTTTTTTATAAAAATTAGATTTTTTTATAACCACCGAATGTTAATATTTTTTAATAATTGTTGATACGAAAAAAATTATTGTCTCCCAAACCAGATACAGAGATTTTTTTTTCGTATCAACAATTATTAAAAAATATTAACATTCAGTGGTTATAAAAAATATAATTTTTATAGGAAAATATAAAAACATTTGTTGGTTCATTCATTCGTTTAAAAATATATAAAAATTATAAAGCTTGACGTGATTCCATATTGTGTAAGAGTTGTGATGATAGATTGTGTTTAAGGGTTATGGGTTGTGAGAGTATAATTGTTTTATTTTATAGAGTAAAACCACAACATTTGGTCCTAAACACAGTCAAAAAACTAGTCAAAATCGTCCCCCGTTTATTGAAAAACACCCCTTAATTGTCAAATTAATTTCCTCACTAGAAGACAAAACAGCGCTCAAAGTTGGAGGGTCGGATCGGCCCCGGGGGAAGATCCTGGGTTAGATGGAGGCGATCCCCCTATTAAAAACAAACCAGATGTTTTGTCGCCCAAATCAGATACATGTGGGCCCCAAAATCAATTAAAAATATATTTTTTGAACTTTTTTTTGTCAAAGAGGGTTGGATCGCCCCCCCCCCCCCAATAGTCAAACATGCCCCCGGGGGCGATCCGTGTGATTATTTTGGTAAAACTTTGAAAAAAATGATTATTTTGTTAATATATTATGTATCTTTTGGTCATTTTGGTGAAGTTTCCTTTCAGATAAGTAATAAGAAATTATGTGAAGTTGTGTCGGTAGTAACGTATTCAGAAACTTAGGTAATTAAAAACAGAAACTTAAGTAATTAGAGACACATTTAGAGGTGTCAAATTTCTTTTAATTGAAATTCAAGTTATTCAATTTTTGAATTAAACAGTTCATTTAACCGAATAAAGACACCGTTTTTAGCTTCGTTAATTTATTATTATTATTATTATTATTTTAGTTAAATGAAATATAAGATTAATGGCAAATATGAGAAAAAGAACTGGAAATTTTGAAAACGAGAACAAAAACCCTGATAAATATTATAAAAAACGACTTCAAATTGAAAAATCTGGAATTTTTTATAGAGATTTTAACTTTTTATAGGAAAAATTATACCATAATCGGTATGTCTCATTACATTCCAACAATAAAAAAGATTCACACATGATTTCAAGCTTTTTTGTACAGACAAGTCTCATGACGAGTCGTGAACGTAGGTTCGTCCACAAGAATGTTCAAAATTAAGAGAATGAATTGGTTTTCTTGTTTTCATAAAATTTCTAAAGCGTTTTCTACAATGAAGAAACAATTTCTTTGTACTGAAGGAAAGGGAAGAAATCAAAGAGTCTTTGTCTTAGTGGTATGTAAGTCTTGGCCTCCTAGAAAGTCAATGGTTCAAATTTCACCAAATGTGAGATGGGTGTGTGTGTGTGTTTACTTGTTCTATTTGCCGTATATAGATATTATATACTTCAAAAAAAAAATCTCGAAAATTAAATTTCGGAGAGAAAACATAAAATTGCTCTTAGTTGCCCATAAAACTTACAACAACGTCTATTAAACTTTTTCTTATTTCAATATCTTAAAATTTTAGTTGTACATGAAAACATGATAATTGGAGTTAAATTGTTACAAAATAAAATCAGAAAAAAACGTATCTTACATAATTAGTTGGATTTGCCCTAGTCGAATTGTCTTGTCATAAAAGAGATGGAAGGGTTGTCTTGTTCAATGGTTTTGTGCAGAATGATTAAGTGGTCAGAATGATTAAAAAGCTCTCATGATATAGTGCAAAATGAAATATAATTGTTCGGTAATTGTTTACAATGGAATTAGGGCGTTGAATGGTAAGGGAGACCCATGATATAAAATCATTCAGAGGATTTTAAAACCATTAAAAGATAAACATTTTTTTGGTCAAACAAGATTCACCTCTTAAAAGAGATGGAGTTTTTATTACAAAATCTGAAGTTTATATCTGGTTTTACCCATTTATTATAAGACATTGTAATTTATCTTTCTTTTTGTAGTTGTGAGACCAACATGATGAGAATGCTATAACACAAACTACAACACCAAGTTCGAATTAATGAGGAATAAAATTTCTCTTGT